GAAGATGAATAGGTGGAAGACGGCAACAGTTGCCCACTAGTAGAAAAGAGGGCTTTGGTCCACCCCGGGTTAGCCCATTAGTCCCGGTTCAGTCCAGAACCGGGACTAATGGGCGCATTAGTCCCGGTTCGTGCGCTCAGGGGCCACGTGGGCCATTTGTCCCGGTTCGTCTGGACCTTTTAGTCCCGGTTCGTGCCACGAAAACCCTTTAGTCCCGGTTCGTGCCACGAACCGGTACTAATGGGGTTTGAGGCATTAGTACCGGTTCATGGCACGAACCGGTATTAAAGGTCCCATTTTCAAACTCCACCCCCCTCCCCCTGAGTGGATCGCCTTTTCAGTTTAAAAAATAAATAAAAGAAAATGATGAAAATGTCAAAAAAATAAAAGAAAATAAGTTTCCCATGTGATATATGGTCTAGTTGTTGGGAAAATTTACAAATATGAATTTCGACTTTATTTGCAAAATCTCTCTAGAATTTAGTAAAATGGGCATAACTTTTGCATACGAACTCGGATGAAAAAGTTTTTTATATGAAAAATCATCTACTCGAAAAGTTACATCTAACTCGGAACCCCATTAAACATTTTCAAAATCCTCAAAAACCTAACATAAAAAAAGTTACGGGCCTTTTTATTTCTAGAGTGGAAAAAATCGAAAAAATTTCAAATTGTGGTCAAACAATGGTCAAACTAATTATTCTACAATATTAGTGTTACTAAATAATTATTTCAGTTATTTTGAATTTTAGTCAAATCTGGTCAAATTGTGGTCAAACAATGGTCAAACTGTGGTCAAACAATGGTCAAACAATGGTCAAACTAATTATCCAAGAAATATTAGTAATTATTGTTTTTTAAACAATAGTTTCAGACTCAAACAGTGAAATGTGTCACTTCATGCTCAAGCAAAATTCCTGAAGGTTAATAGGATTGACATCTTACTATTGTCAGGAAAACAACAAGTGCAGACTTGAAAACGAGGGAGAATAGAACCCGAAAGTTAAGCGTGCTCAGGCTGGGGGAGTGAGAGGATGGGTGACCGTTCGGGAAGTTAGATGATTTGGAATGATGAGGGGTGATTAGAGATTAAAGGATAAATTAAGCAGTGATGAGGGGTGGTGATTAGAGATTAGAGGTTAAAATAATTCAGAAATTTGAAAATAAAAAAAATCAAAAAAAATCAAAAAAAATCGTAAAATTTTCTTTAGTCCCGGTTGGTGTTACCAACCCCAACCGGGACTAAAGGTGGAGCTCCACGTGGCCGCGGCCTTTAGTCCCGGTTCGTTTAAGAACCGGGACTAAAGGGGAGAGGCATTAGTAACGACCCTTTAGTCCCGGTTCAAAAACCGGGACTAAATGGCCTTACCAACCGGGACAAAAGTCCCTTTATCTACTAGTGGCCTCTGAGAGTGCGCCGGACCGGTGTATGCCTCAAACCCGGCATTGTGGCTTGGTTGTGGCCGCCGACTTTAGATGTTAGGCTTTGATGTGAAGTTTGTTTGGTATTCGGATTGGATTTTCGGCACCCTTTCATCAAGTGGATAGGAGTAACGACGGATATTGCCGAGAAGGTTGCTTCATACTTAGTGATGTATTACATTGTAATGTCTTTATGAATAATTAATAAAGTGGCTGTCGCCCAGTTGCGGAGGCCGGGGGTCATCCTCCTTTTCTAAAAAATAAATTCCTCTTTTCATTAAAACACACTGACTAGAGGTAGGCGGGTCGCCAAGTCGTGAATAAAACACACTGATTATGCTAAGAAAAAAGGCGCATGTTCATGTGCTGTCCTCTTGTCTGCTCAATCCCAGCTCCAAAAAGTCAAATACTAGCACACATGGATGTTTGGTTATTTATTGAAGGCAACAAAGGGATCAGAGTCAGAACCTATCTACTAGGCGTTGACCAAGTTGCTTCTCATCTCCACGCCCAAATTGGATCCTCCCCATTCTCATCACTCAGCATCCCCTCTCGAGATCGACAGGATTGATCCACCTTACTGCATCTGGGTGCCAAGAATCGTCTTTGAGTTGGCACAAGCACCACGGGCCCAGGTTAGTGTCAGTATGTTCTTCCGCGGTATTGCTTCCCTACGCTTTCGGGTGTACTTGAAGATATCCTTTTCTACAGATTATAGTGGGAGCAAATACAAGGTACTCCTGGAAATGGCCAACTCAAATGATCTATGGGAGAAGAAGTTGCAGGATCCAAGTGCAACACCAGTGCCTCTGCCATTTGAATTTCTGAAAGCCATTACATGTGATTTTTCCAGTGAGCAGGAACTCGGCAGAGGTGAGCATGGAGTGGTTTACAAGGTATATATGGCCAATTCCTTTCATTCTATTTGTCAAATCTTAACAATTAATAGCTGTTAAACTGTTTAAGAAGTGAAGAGAGGTTTAACTTTATTGCATCACAGGGAGTTCTTCCGAGTGGAAAAATTATTGCCGTGAAGAAGCTTTTTCAAACACATCTGATGGATGATAAGAAATTCCAGAATGAGCTCAGTTCTCTCATGGGGATCAAGCACCAAAATGTAGTGCAGCTTATTGGTTACTGTGCCGAAACAAGTTTTGAAATGGTGAACCTCCAAGGTAGTGGGAAACATATTATGGATGAAATACCAAAGAGATTGCTTTGCTTTGAATATGTAGGCAACAGAAGCCTTCATGACTACATCTCAGGTAAAATCAGAGAAACGCTGGAGTAGCTTATTTCTTATTTACTTTACTCCTTTCCTTTGTGAAGTTTAGCTTTTAGCAAAGTTTTAAATAACCCACTATAGCTATGCTATAGATTTTGGAGAGCTCTTCCGTTAAAGCAATGCACTTTTAGTGTTAAATTGAAAATGATGCTAATAACCTGGTATTTTCCACAATAGCGCTAAATTTGGAGTCATTTAGGCCACTAAGCCGCTATACAAAACCATCATTCTACCTTATTCTTTCTTCTTGTTTTTATAAATACAATGCATTGATGCAAAGCTTGGTTATTAAATTAGCACACCTGGTTAGTGCTCGGGTTTTGATGTTCAAACATGTGTATATGTTACGTATACGTGATATATCATATATGATGCCTGATTGTATACTTATTTTTTTTTAATTTTTTTCATGATTAAGAAAAACGCTAAAGGGGGCTTAGCTTCGCTGTAGCTCCGCTTAGCTTTTCATAGCTTATAGCTAAGCCGCCGGTAAACGCTAGGGACCGCCGCAAACCGCGTCTAGCCAGCCGCTGAGTCCCGCCGCCAACCACTGGGACCTCGCGTCCCAGCGCGCGTCGACGCGCCGCCCGTCTCCGTGCCCACCAGATTCGGGTTGCCGCTGTGAGAGGTAACCCCGCCGCCACCGTTGGCTGCACAAGCTTCGCTCGGCGACGTCCTACGACGGCGGCGCGGCAGGAGGGGGAGGGATGTAGAGTGGCGGCGCTAGGGTTCTTGAAGCACGCCCGAGACGCCCTGGGCAAGGCCACGCGGGGTCGAGAGCTTCAGATATGTTGCCCACAACCTCTGCATCATAGATGCACACCCTTGCATGAGGTGGTGATGTGTTGCCATCGTAACATAATTTCCATCATTGATTGAGTTCATATTTCCTTTTTTTCATCAATTTAACAGTTGGTACTTTTGACCTCGAGTGGGATATGAGATATGAAATAATAAGGGGTATTTGCGATGGTTTGCATTACCTTCATGAGAAATGCCATACTGTTCATCTCGACCTGAAACCTGGAAACATATTGATGGATGCTACTATGGTTCTAAAAATAGCGCATTTCGGTTTATCAAAGATCTTTGGTGATAAGCAATCCCGAATCATCACTGAAAATCGTCCAGGAACACTGTAAGTTTTGTCTCCCTGTTATAGCATCTCCTTTTCTTTCTTGCAATGCCTCAAACTTCCATATTGTGCTGCAGCGGATATGAGTGCAGTTTTTTGTAGCTCGAGCTTTACGGAACCCTCTATCCACCCCGTTCAATACCTCCGAGATTCGTGCTCGTGATAGACTATTTTGGAACCATACAAAGTGATTAGCAGTAGTAGGCACGCAGGGTAGCTCAGTAGGCTCTACTTTTTTATGTGCGCATGCGAGCCGCTACCGCTGTCCCTTTCTCTCTCAGTAAAGCCTCCTCCTGACATGCATGCATGCACAGCCTTTTCGCTCTCTCTTTCTTCTCATTTTCTCTTTTTTAAATGCAATCTGACATGCAAACACAAGCTTCTTTAATTCACATGCAGATTTCGTCTTCATCGCTTTCTTAACTCAGTAAAAAAACTTCTCACATGCAGAATTTGTCTCCATATTCTCTTCTCTCTGTCCCCTCTCTCTTCTCTCTGCCATCTGAGACTTTGCAAAAATCTGTGACATGCAAATAATAGATTTCACCTCCGATTCTCTCTCTCTACTCATCCTCGCCTCTATCTCATCTAGGATGAGCGGCGTTGGCTTTCTCTGCATGTGAGCAGTGAGCTGCATGTGACCAGGTTAACAGTGAGCTGCATGTGAGAGGACGGGAGCTGCATGTGACAAGATGGGACAACACTTGCTAATGACACTGCAACCAGCAGCTGCGCCGCGCGTGAGGCTTCTTTTTGCAACAATCTCGATACAAACCAACATCCCAGATAAGAGGGGCCGTGGAGCTCGGCCTACAAAGGAACTTTGCGCAGCGGATATATGGCCCCAGAATACTCCTTTCAAGGCGTAGTCTCCATGAAGGCAGATATATATTCAGTTTGGGTATTATAATGATTGAGATAGTCACAGGTCGTAGAGACTATCCACTGACTGCTATTCCATACATGGAGCACTTCAATCAAGACGGCAGTTTCCAGAGTACCGAGACGCCCTTCGAACACTACTACAAAGAGAAAATAAGATTAAGTACTCAGGCTCTTGCAAATGTTAGTGAAATATTTACCATTTATTTTCAAATGTTTTGATAAAAGGTGTGAAATACAAATTAAATGGTGTTATATAACCGGCTCAAAACTAAATACTTTTTTAGTTCTTTTGATCTTCCTGTTGATATTTCTAAGCTTTACCGTAAATGTATGGGGCTTGTGTATACATTTACATTTACATTACATATTGTTGTCTGTTTTCGTAACTCAAACTCATAATTTTAATTTTGTAGATATATCATACTTGGAGGAATAGGCTGGAGAGGTCGCGGGGAGTCACAGAAAAGTTGGAACAAATTCGTGCGTGCATTGAATTAGGACTAGAATGCACCGAAATCAGCCATATAAAAGACCAGCTACACAACATATAATCGATAGGCTTGAAAAAGTCAATATTACAGACGAATACCGTAAAGACGGTGGGAGTATTTCGGCAGTAGCACAGGTACGTAAACTCATGTCGAAAAACATGGTCCCACTGTTGGCGACCTAAGTTTTGTGAATTTGTGTATCTCTATTTTTCACTTTTGTTGCTACGTAATTAGTGGTTCTACTTCTGGTGAAGTGTGGTTATTGTTCAATAGGCAGGAGAATCTTCCACTTCCAATGCCCTGCATCGAGGAGATACTGGTACCATTGTTGAGATTGAGAAGGCGTCAAGAGTACCGGCAAAGGTTAAGGAATTTGTGCAGGTTCAAGTATCTGCGGTCGGCATTCCAGCAAGTGAAAATGACATTCCCACAAAGAAAGACAAATCGACATCTCCTGTGGTTCCGAATGCTTTTCGTTGCGCACTATCACTTGGGATAATGCAAGACCCGGTTATCGTGGCCACTGGGCAGGTCTCTGCTTGCTTGGCTTACTCTATATATGTTTCTTATCAGTCCACGGAGCCTCATGATTTCACAATAACTATTTCTTGAAAATGCATGTACTACAGACTTACGATCGAGGCAGCATAGCAAGATGGTTGAGCGCCGGGCACGACACTTGTCCGAGGACGCAGCAGAAGCTTGTTAACAAATTTCTAACTCCAAATTATGCTCTTCACGGCCTGATTGTCCACTGGTGTCAAGCAAACGGTTTGGAGCAGCCCAAACGCTCTGCTCAAGTTAGCAGTGATGACAGTGATGCAACGCCGGCATCACTCGCCTATTCTGAGCTTGATGTAGTTGCCGGCCTTCTTCGGAGACTATTAGATTCCCAAAATGTTGTAGACCAGCGTGGAGCTGCTGGTACGCTTTGTCTGCTTGCCAAGGGCAATTCTAAATATCAAGCGTGTATAGGAGATTCTGACGGCATTCCTATCCTGGTGAGCCTGTTATGGATAGATGATATCAGCACCCAGGAACATGTTGTTACTACTCTCCTGAATTTCTCTGTTTCTAGTTACGAGAACAAGGAAAGATTGGTCTTGGCCGGAGCTATTCCTGGAGTTGTGTACGTGCTAGAGACGGGCAGCATGGTTGCCCGGAAGAATGCTGCTGCAACGCTGTCCAGCCTATCCACTGTGAAAGAAAGCAAGGTGATCATTGGGGCTGCTGGATCAATTCCACCTCTCATTCTGCTGTTGAGTACCGGGAGTCAACAGGGTAAAAGGAATGCTGCGGGAACACTAATGGATCTGTTCGTGGAGGCGGACAACAAGAGTATAGCTATTAGAGCCGGGTTCGTCCCTGTACTGCTAGAGCTTCTAACAGGAACTGAGGATGGAATCGGTTCCATCTTTATGTTGGCAATTCTTTCCAAGCATCCTGAGTGAAAGGCGGCTATTGCTGCTGCTGCTAATGCTAATGCTGCTGTCATACCAATGCTGCTTGGAGTTATCAGAAATGGATCCCCTAGCGAAAAGGAATGGGCAGTTAATATTCTAGCGCGCATCTGTGGTGGCGAAGGCAATCAGCAGAAACAGTGTCTTGCTGAAGCACGGGAGAATGGCCTCGCACCCTTGCTGGTCGAGCTAGCAGAGAGTGGCTCAAGCTCCAGCAGAGGCAGATTGGAAGCCACAGATCTGCTAACACTACTCAGAAGCGATTGCTGAGGGAGGCGCACGCACGCAACAGGCTCAAAGGCCCATGCATACAACTCACCAAACCTTCTCACGGTCGGCAGCGGCTACCGTGACCGTGAGGGGCTGTCTCCCTGCTCTACCGCGCCTCCAGCCTTCTCGTGCCGGCGTCGCCTCCCACGGACCCCACCATTCGCTTCGGCCACAATGCCATCAGCTACCCCCTCCATTTTTATATACTACTAGATGACCCGTTGCGCCCATGGCGCAAAGGCCGAGTGTAAGCCAATTGGTGTAAGAGTGCCATCAGCTACCCCCTCCATTTTTATATACTACTAGATGACCCGTTACGCCCATGACGCAAAGGCCGAGTGTAAGCCAATTGGTGTAAGAGTGTGCATTAACATATTGTTGTTCAAAAAGAATAGCTCATATACTATATGCAGTAAGTACATAAGGTTGGAAATGATACACCAAGTCATGCAGGAAAGGACCCTTGTGATCTTTTTAGATTGGATAAATAATCATGCAGAGGCCTTTGGATATGCACGTGAAGGAGCATATATTTCCTTTATCATGGTTGTTGCAAAAGCATGCGATAGAGCAGTCTAAGTAGCGGATAATCGATAGCTAAATGCATAGCACTGTCTTACAGGATTACATAAGATCGAAAAGGAGGATAAACATAGATGTCTTTGTAGGCATTTATACTAATACTATGTTATATAGCAAGGGGCTCCTGCAGCTTGCTTATATTGAGTAGGCAATCAGGCACAATCCCTTGGAAGTGCATTTGAAGCCGAAAGCATATGCTTGCCCTTCGTTCATGTGGGTCCGACGAAAGAAGTCGCTCCAGCCTTTAGTGATGGTGGCCCTTTTGTCAACTCCCTTATAAAGCGGGCCGTGACAGTGGTTGTTCCGTCTCCAGTTGTGATTGGAAGTTCACCGTGGTCCGTGGTCAGCATCCATGTGTGGGAAAAGGGAACCCGTAGAAATAAAACATATGGAAATAAGTACTGATTGATTATAGATAGATGACTACTGATGATACATGTTTTACATGAGATCCAAAATGATGCCAAATATAAAAGTATCGGCACGTACTGATAGTAATACTAAGTCAGGTAGCAAAGGATTCTTGTGATCTGCAGAGGCCTTTGGACGTGCACTTCAAGGAGAAAACATATGTTTCTTTCATCATGGCTGTTTGAAAAGCATACCACACGGCAGTCTAAGCATAAGATCCAAAAGGATGATAAACATAGAAGTCTTGGTAGGCATCTATACTAATGCTAAGTTATATAGCAAGGGGCTCTTGCAACTTGCTTATATTGGGTAGACGATCACGAACGGTCCCTTGGAAGTGCATTTGAAGGCGAGCATATATATGCTTGCCCTTTGTTCATGTGAGCCTGACCGAAGAAGTCACTCATCCTCTAGTGATGGTGGCCCTTTTGTCAACTCCCTTATAAAGCGGACCGTGACAATGGTTGTTCCGTCTCCAGTTGTGATTGGAAGTTCACCGTGGTCAGCATCCATGTGTGGGAAAAGGGAACCCATAGAAATAAAACATATGGAAATAAGTATTGATTGATTATAGATAGATGACTACTGATGATACATGTTTTACATGAGATCCAAAATGATGCCAAAGGAAATAAAAGTCATTATGAAAAGTAGTTTTCTATTTTCATCTCTTAACAAATACTCCTAGTATACACAAACTTCCAATAAGCACATGCTATTGAAGATTAATATTCACAACATGCACAACAGCATATCCACCTGATGGTATAGTAATATATCAATATCATGGCAATGGTGGATATTTTCTTCTCAAAACTATGCATATAACCTGGCACCTTGATGCATATGTCCCAAACCTGCATATGAGGCTTTTCTGATCAGGAATTATATGGAAAAGAAACATTCTTTATCTGATTGAAGCTCAAAAGTGATCACACTGGATCATATTCAAAATCGATCAAAAGTGACCAAATTGGAGCATATTCAAAATCTATAGCTTATAACTCTAGTAAAAAATATGCTTTTTCACACAGTAGCCAAGCAAGCACAAAAATTCTTGTTCATTACCTTCGGGCTTGGACAAACACGAGATCTGGAATAAAACACTACAATTTGGTCAGATAAGAAACATGCAACTATAGAATATTTTAGAGCCCTAGCAAAAACATTTTCATACACGTTTTAGTGTGGATCACTACATTGATCAAAGAAAACCAATGGGAATAGAGGAAGAGGCAACCTTTATACCTAAAATATGCATGCAGAATAAATAAACATTAGAACTACTTTGACAATCAACTAAAAAAGTAGGATGGTGCCTACATGAAATCCATTTGATCTGAGGTACACTGTTAACCATGTTTCTTGTTCTCAGAAAGATTCCGCACTTCATAAAGTTTCTGGGCTATCTGGAGTACATGGCGAGCCATGTGAGAATCGAGATCTGGGTAATGTATTGGAAGAGCTGGAAAAAAATATGTTGGTACGTATTGGAAGGGCACAATATTAGTTAGATGGTCGATGCAATAAAGTGTACTTGTAAATCAAGGTTCAGGGAGATCAATGGATCCACTTACTGTACTAGAACCAACAAAAGACTGCACCAACAAGAGAGGTCGTGCGCCCACGAGCTCCCACGAACCGCGCCCACTAGAGAAAGAGGAGCCACTGCACAGGCAGCACCCCACGTCACATAAAGGACAACTTAATTCAGATGTGATATCAAACATGTGGCTTGAACTATTCAATCCAATTGTTCAGAATATAAAACAAACGTATTATGGAATGTGCGGCAAATGCTGTCAAGAATG